GGCGGGGCCCCCAGGCCTCCTCCTACCTCTTCACCTCCTGTTCTGGCCTCTCTGTCTTTGAATCAGGGTTGAGTGTCTGTCCCAGAATGTCTTTAGCCTTGGGGTGTGGGAACCCCAGTTTCTTACCCTCTTTTGGATGGTGAGGAAAAAGTAACATACATTAATTCACTCTTTCATTCATTCAGCAAATACTCAGCATGTGTGCCAAGCACTGAGGATTCAGGAGTGAGCAAAATGCCCATTCATGCTGTTCTCATAGGTCTCGTTCTTGAGGTTGGGAGGGGGGTGACCAGGTGCTTGTGCCTGAGCATGGCTCTACTGGCTCAGTCTGGATTCCCCTCCACGCCTCATTCCTGGCCTGGGCCTGGTGTGTATTTCCCTTGCCTGACAATAGTCAGCTTGATGAGTTGGCTTTGATAGTGGTGGTGGTGGGGAGCTGGACAGGAGCCCCAAGGTGGGCAGGGCAGGGCTATTCTCAATATCAGACTCAGCTATGGGGCAGTGATGATATTTTCCAAAATACAAATAAGTGTAGATGATTTCACAGTGTGATAGGAGTTTTGGTGAAACAGCCAAGGGTAGTAATCAGCTTCCAGGCCTGAGTGGCCAGCACATACCAAGTACCAGTCCCAGTTCTGCCTCTGTCTCCCGACCTATGAAGTGAGGACCATGATAGTGTCAGCCTCAAAGGGCTGCTGTGGAGACCAAATGAGACAATGCGTGCACTTAGCATTAGTTCGGCCAACTGTAGCTGTGACCATTATCATCACTGTTATTATTAGAAAGTCCCCCTGAAGAAAGGGAAAAGCGAACGCCCCCCCGGAGAAGTGCATTGAACTTCTCAGTCTCCCCTGCGGGCCAGAGATGTTTTCGCTGCTTTCCTTCCTTCCCTGTTTCCTTTCTCCGTCCTGTCAGGCCGATCCTTGAGATATCTGTATCCCACATTCGATTCAGTCAACAAATATTTACATTGGCCAAGCCCCCAGCTGAAGTGCCCATAGTGTGCAGGCCCTGGACAGACAATGGAGAATGAGGTAAAAACAGTGCCTCCCCTCTCCAAGCTTACAGTCTACTGGGGGCCCACAGACAGCCGGTGGGCCTCCGAATAGAGAGGTTAGCAGAGTGACGTGTTAAGTGTTGAGTACTGTGGGAACAGGGACAGCAGAACCCGGGCCACTTATAAGTCCAGTAGCACCTTTGTGAAAACTGCAAAAGCTGCCCCTTCCATTTGTTCAGAACCCTCTTCATAAATATGCAAACGTAGGATGCCAATGATTTCTTTCCATGTGGTACTTTTGTCAGCGCACGCTTACGCAGCAGGGGACAGGGGCCCTAGCTCAAGCTGGTGGATCAGAGAAAGATCCTTAGGTAAGGTGACATCTCGAATGAGACTTGAAGAATCATTAGGGGTAAGACAGTCAAAGAGGTGGAAAGTTTAACAATTCAAGAAATTACACATGGAGTGAGACCAAGAGAGTGGACCCCATTCTCTGGAGCCCTGGCTCTCCTGCAGGAAAGCAGGCATGTCAAAGTGTTAGGTGGAGTCAGGGCTTCCAAGCCCGTCTGGGCAGGTTCTGGTTCCCAAGAGCTGCCTCATTTAGGTAGGTGGGTGGGGTCTCTCTCCTTTCCCATCAGCCCTCTGAGAGGCATCTAATACCTGGTGCTGCTGACCCAAGTGCTGACCTTCCTGGTGACTTCCTGACCCAGTAGGGCTGTCCTGGGAGGGAGCTGACTTCTCTGGGTAGGAGCAGCAAGGTTTCATCCATGTGGCAATTCAAAAGTAGCCTTAGAATTTTCTCCTCCTTGTCTTGAGGCCCAGAAGCCGTCATAGTGTTGCCTCTGAAGTCTGAGAAACAATGAAAGGGAAGAATTAGCTCAGCTGCCAACAGCTGTGGGTGGCAAAGGAACGGAGTGGAGCAATGCCGCTGAGAAAGGGCTCGGCAAGGGGCCTCCCTAGGCTCCTGCTTCATTGCTGGGTTCAACTTCCTGTCTTCCTCACACCTGAGGTCTGGGCCTCTCTTAGAACCTTCCCTCTGGAAAAGCCTTCAGGGTCTAAGGGGTCTGAGGTTCAGCCACTAAGCATGATCCTGAGCCCTGAGATGCAGCCCTCTGGATGTGGGGGACAGCATTAGGGTCCTGCAGGGTCCTTGGAGTCAGCACCTCCTCTTCAGTTCAATAGGTCAACTTGACAGTCATGTTAGTGGCCAGAGACCTATCAGGTGGGAATGAAAATGAAGCCACTCTAGGTTCTTTATTTAAATGTCACATCCAGTACTTACAGGATTTAAGCAGAGAATGGGAGCACAGGACCCTGCCTGTCCAGGGCACCAAAGCCCATCAGAGATGCAGAGATACAGGCTATAAGGTCCATGCCAGGGATGGCTGCTGTCAGTGGAGGATCCTGGGCCCATCCCCCTCAGCCAGGGCTGACATGCACTGCAGCCATGAACCCAGATCTCAATCAGTTTGGGGTATGGAGAGCCCTCACTCAGAATGGAGGGAACAAGAGAAAGGGCCAGAGTCTGTACTTCAGGGCTGCCTGCGCACCCACTCCTGGTCCCACCTGTGTGCCAGCCTTGATAGCTCAGCCTACATGACACCCAAGGACCCTGTTCCCCACAGGGCCCAGAGCCCAGTGGTGGTGGATATGGTAGCAGATCTCCATGGGTCAGGTGGCCCCACATGCACACGTGGGTGTAGAACACCAACTATACCCTTGCACACACATATCCATGGCTCAGCCCTTGTCTCCACTCCTCCCCCACCCTGCTCAGCACATCTCAGCAAACTGGGCACCAGGGTACAGACCCCAGAATGTCAAGCATTCCAGGCACCGAGCAAGAAATAACAAAGACCAGGGCAACATAAACATTTAAAACACATGAAGTGCAGCTGGGCACTGTATAGAGAAAGGGCAAGACACTGGAACCTTGTTTGTGTTGACAGGGTGCCAGGCACCCCACACGCTGGGGCCTTGGGCGAGGGTGGGGTGCCTCTCGGAGTAAGCGGGACAAGCAAGCACCTGCACGGGAGACAGGAGGAAAAGGCTTGGGCTTAGGGGTGGCTGGCAGGACAGGCAGCACTTCTGGCTTCTAGAACACCCTCTCCTGCCCTGGCTTTGCCTCTCTGAGCCCCTGTTTATCCTCTGATAATAAAATAGGGTTATGCCTCTTGGGGAAGGCTCTGTCTTCCCCAACAAGGTGATGGGAGTGACAGAGTGAATTGCCTGTGAGCATGTGACTACATGGCTTTCTTTCTCTTAATCACCTTTTGGCTTTTGAGGCTCTGTGTTGGACTGTTAAAGAATGAAGAATGCTGCATAAAGTCTCAGTTGCATGGCTCAGACAAATACCTTTTCTTCCAGAAGATTCTACAGAGCCCCCTTCCATAGAGAGGTGGCTCAGAGAGTCAGCCTAGACTCTGGGTCCCCTCTCCTCCCTTCACTCTGAATGAAGGACACAGTTATGTGCCCTGCTGACCTGCCAGGACTTAGCCTGAGCCATGTCTTCCTGACCCCTTGGGATTTAGCAAAGGTTGTAGCTCAGAGCCTCTTCAGTTCCCCTGCCAGAATCTGGAGAACACACAGCTTTCAAAAGCTTTGATTGAGGCCACATTTTTGAGTTTGCATCTGAGAAAGACAGACATCTGGGTTGACTGGAAAGTTGGCTGCTGCCCCATCTGGCTTGGCACTGGCTGTGTCAACCCCAAGGCCCCTTTGCTGGGACAGGCGGGCTGGCACAGGGCTCGGGGCCCACAGTGGTGGGCTCCAGCTGTTTGCCACAAGATCATCTTTTCATCTGCCTGGTATGGGGGTGAGTCCACCTCAGAACCCAGGGCCCCTGTATCTCCAGGGAGAGCCAGTTTTCTTGCTCTCCTTCTTCAAGGAATTCTATGTCTTTTTTTCTTATATTAAGAATAACTGCCAGTTACTTAACTTCTACACTATGCTGGGCCTTTCACCTGTATAATCTCATCTAGTTTGTACAACCGTCTACAAGCTAAGGTGCTTTTTTTTTTTTTTTTTTTTTTTGTAGAGACAGAGTCTCACTTTATTGCCCTCAGTAGAATGTCGTGGCGTCACACAGCTCACAGCAGCCTCCAACTCCTGGGTTTAGGCGATTCTCTTGCCTCAGCCTCCCAAGTAGCTGGGACTACAGGTGCCTGCCACAACTCCTGACTATTTTTTGTTGCAGTTTGGCTGGGGTCAGGTTTGAACCCGCCACCCTCAGTATATGGGGCTGGTGCACTACTCACTGAGCCACGGGTGCCACCCCAAGCTAAGGTGCTTCAACCCTGTTTGATGGATGAGGAAAATGAAGCTCAGAGAGGCTGAGGAACTTGCCCAAGGTCACACAGCTCAGACAAGTGGAGCCAGGATTCAAACTACAGTGTGTTTGATTCTTAGCTGCCCAAGATCCCCCTAACCATTCTGGGGAGACCTGAATCTACCTGAAGGAGGCAAAGATTAGGATACTAGACTGGAATTTTGTAGCCAAGAGAATGCATACCAGGATTATACCATTTCATGAGTTACTCGTGCATGAAAGACAGTGTGTGTGAAGAAGACAGGCAGGTTAGCAACACATAGCGCAGGCCTACAAGTCAAGAGATGTGATGAAAGAATTGCCCTAGGGAGAAGGGTGTATACTCATTCCATGTGCTTCTGGGGAGAAAAAGCCAATGTGTGATGTTTCGAGTAAGCAACACTCAACTTGAAACTGAGCACAAAGGACCACTTATTAAAAACTGCAGATGCCCAGCAATAAAATGGAGAATGCCTAGAAGTGCTGGGCTCCCAGTCACAAGGAGTGTGCCTACCAAGAACAGGGTTTTCAAAGGATGTGGGGAAGGAAATTAGTTTTTGAGGGAACAGAGGTTTATATATAAATGTTGGAAAATTTATTTGAAACCCTCAACAGAAAGAAAGATTTGCCCTGATTTGTCCTGAGCTTGGCCATAAGACGTGTTACAGGTACAGATCTGTGGTGCCAGCCCCCAGGGAGGGTGTGGACATGAGGGATGTTTGGAGCAGAGAGCCTTAGATTAGGTCACAGCGGCAATGTCATTATTAACAGTGTCGTTGTCATTAGCAACCAGTTATTCAGAGCACTCACAAGTGTCAGGCACCACGCTTGATCCTCCTCTCGTTGCATCCTAACAATATTTCTCGGCGTTGGGTGCTGTTATCTCTATTTTACAAAGAGTTAAGTCAGCCTGAAACCCCAGGTCTACCTGACTGCAGACCCCCATTTCTGCTGCCCTGTAATTTGCCTTCCTGCACTGCTTCTTGTGAACTTGGCTCAGGCATTTGCTAAGCCAGAGGACCCCGGCTTGGGGAACAGCTGTGCTGGGGTGGGGCTCCTGTTCTCTGGACTCTTGGGGAGACGCCCAGTCCCCTACCCTAAAGAAATGCAATTTTCAGAATTCCAGTTGTCAGCCTGAAAGGGCAGTGTCTCTTTGGCTCAAAGATGTTCTGAGAGCTTCTTCCAAGGGACTTGGAGCCTCCTGGGGATTGTGCCACAGGCTTAAGTTAGCAGCCTCCCTACCCCAACTCCAACTGACACGTGGCACCTGCAGGGCTCAGGAAGTGCTGGGGTGGAGGTGGCTGAGTGGCACTGTCTGAGCCACAGGTCTAAGCAGAGCCCTCTCTACCTCACAGTTTATAGTGGCTTTAGTTCTATCCTGCTCTGGGGCAGCAGTCAGATGCCCTCTTTGGGTGAAATGTCCATTATCACTGAGGAACCCACTGGCACATCACCCACTAGGAAAATTTGAATAATGGACATTGTGACAATTACCCCAAATGTGGCAAGTAGCATGGGGTTTTACATGCTGATTTAGTGTTTGCAATAATAACCCCATGAGCAAAGACTTGTGATCCCCACTTTACAGATAAGAAAATAGCTCAGAGAGGCTTGGCACCTGTGGCTCAAGTGGCTAAGGTGCCAGACACGTACAACCAAGGTGGCGGGTTTGAATCCAGCCTGGGCCTGCCAAACAACAATGACGGCTGCAACCAAAAAATAGCCGGGCATTGTGG